ACGCAATTTATATAAGTATTCAAACCGATTTCTTTATTAGATTTGCAGACCGTATGTCTGATGACAAGTCCTCTTAAAAGGTGGTTAGGAAAAGTGATGCTAAAATTCCAAATACCTATCTCTCATCTGATAAAACCATTCCGATGTTTGCAGTTTTACTTTGCATTATGGTTAGAATCACCCAAGTCAAATATTCAAAGATCATAGGGAGTAAAATCAGTTCTGAAATTCTGTAAAATAGTGCTTAATGGGTAGGCCAACCACACTAGACTGTGAACATACTCACTTGGTATAATTAATTTATTCAGGTCATTTTGGGTCTCTTTTCCTACCCAAGAAAATTGAGAACACTGTACCTCTTTAAAAAAAATTCCACACTCCCCACCCCCACAATCTGTGGCATAAAATCTTGTCTCCAGTTGCAATTCCTTTGATGGTCACAGCAGCAATAGTTAAGAGAAAATAAATCTTCAAATGGAACATAAACATGGCAAACCCTTTCCACTGATTGTAGCCCCAAAGCATTCATTAAGCACCTACAGAATACCCAGCACATTGATGGGTGTTTGGTGGTGTTCGGAGAACAAGTCTCCCAGGAGCTCACAGCCCACATATCAGAGTGAGGGAGGAAGAGGTTGGAGTAGTTGAGGGAGAGGAAGAACAGCTCATGCTAATGTCATGGCTGGGCTCTGATCTCTTCCGGCCCAAGTCTGGGGGCGGGGTGCTCAGAAGGAAAGCGCCTGTCCATTCCCCTCCTGTTGTCAAGACGACTTCTACGATGGAGCCAGCAGGAGAGGAAGGGATGTTTGCTGTAGGTTGTCTCTGCTTCTCCATGGCAGTGAGATGCACACAGCGATGCAGAGGGGTAGTTATTTTTTTTTATTTTCTGTTAGGTTCTAAGCAACTGGGCAGGCCAAATTCTCCTTTCTTTTGGTCTTGGGTAACTTTCCACAGAGTGCCCTGCAAAGGCAGCAGGTGGGTGCAGGGGTCCAGCCCTTAGAGGGGCTGGTCTTCTCCACAGGCATCTGTAAGCTGAGAGCAGAAGCCTCTCTCTGTCAGACACATTGTCCTTGTCAAATCATGCCCGTCCCACCTCGGTGACACTGATAGTCCTGGGAGCTGACTCAGATGCCAACTGCCTTGCACTCCTGGATGTGAGTACACTTACTTGAAGGGCAGCTTGGGCTCCAACTTGACCTTTGCGAGCTTAGGGAGGGGGGAAGGGGAGCAGAGGGTTGCTGGGGGTGGGGGAGACATTTCCTGGTTATTGCTATGGGGAGTCTGTTTACTTGCCTCCAAGGGTCACAGCCATCTGAATGGCTTCTGGGGCTCCACTCTTGGGTTTGGTTTCAGAGGAGCCCGGCTGGTGGAATTCTGCTCCCCACCCCCACCCCTGCCCCCTGCCCTCCCCCTCAGTGTCAGGTAGGAGACATTTCTTCCCCAGCACGCTTCAGGCCTTCCAGAAGGCCACTGCAGCATGCTTGCGAGAAGAGCAATTGCAAGGGCTGTTTTAAGTGGAGTTTACTGTTGTTGTATAAACCTTCATTTGAAATTGACTATAAAGTGTTTCTGAACCTGCCAAACACGCATTAAAATATTTTTCTCTATTTATGCCGATGTGTAACATTTGGTTTCTACAGCGCTTTCATCAGTGATCTCCAAGTAGGAAGTTATTCATCTTTATTGCCAGTCGGCTCTCAGTGGTGGTCGTGGCAACAATCTTTTTATTGCTTCTGTGTTTAGTTGTTCTTTGACATGATAGAAGTCAGCTGTAGTTCAATGAGCTCACTATTTGTGCAACTTAATTGCTTGCTTCCTTCAATACATACTCAATTTTTCCTTTTATGAGCAGGGCTGTTGGAAAAATTAAGCTTAAGGATATGGCCATCCACTGTTAATTAACCTCCTTCCCAGACACATTAGTAAAATAGGTCAAATAACTGCTGAGTGCTAAGTGCACTGTTACCGAAGTCCTCCTGGGCTGGGAAGCGAATCCCACGGTAAGTGAACAAATGTCGGGGCCTTGAGTGTTTTCTGGAAGCCGTGATGACATAAGAAGAATGCTTTGTAATAGCATTCCCTGCCGCCCCACCTCCTCTGAGTGGAATATGTTGTTTGACTTTGTCTGGCTCTATCATAGGCTTAGCTTGTTTTGTTATATCAACATGAAAAGAAGTGGAAGACTTCTTAGGATTTTTTTTTTTTTTTTTTTTGCTTTCTAGGTTATTGCTTGTTTTAAAGGGGGATCATAAATACAGCTTTTCCTTTAAATAGCAACCACTGCTGTTATTTTGATTCACAATTCCTAGAATAAGCTGAATATGGTGAGGATGTATAAATGCTTGTGATGAGTATAAAAATAGGCTCAGTGAGGGAACAAATCTATCAAGACAGATTTACATAGAACTCTTACAAGTCCTCTCCATGTCAGGGTTATATTCAGATGGAAAATCACTTTAATTGCAGTGGTTAAGGGCTGATTGGAGCTTTGCCAACTTGACAGAAAATATTTTGAAGTTTATAGACTTTTAAAAAAAAGACAAGGAAAAGTGACAGTTCCTGAATTTGGGTGCAGGCCGGAAAATGTCAGGGTCCGGTTTATACTTGGAAGAGGAAAGTAAATGCAAACAGAATTAAAATGGGGGCGTGTGCCAGAGAGAGCAGGACAGGCTGTGGTGTGTGGCCTCCCCTCCCTCTGCAGTTGCCTTGTTTAGCCTCTAGCAGGGCTTGGGGTGGGGTGTGGAGGGGATCTGGCATCCCATGTGGGCTCCGGTCCTGGCTGGGCTGCTCCACTTCCCATCCCGCTCCCTGCTGATTGGACAGGGAAAAGCAGCAGAAGATGGCCCAAGTGCTCCGGCCCCTGCACCCGCATGGAGACCCAGATGAAGCTCCTGGCTCCTGGCTCCAGCCTGGCTCATCTCTGGCCATTGTGGCCACTTGGGGAGGGAACGTTGGATGGAAGACCTCTGTCTTTCCCCTCCTCTCTCTGTAACTCTTTCTGGTGAATAAATAAATCTTTAAAAAAAATTTCTTTAAGATGATTACCCAGTTATAATCTAAAATACTTGTAAATACTTGGGTAGAGCCTCTACATTTCTAAATTCGTCGTCTCTGATAAAACCTCTACTGAATACGTGATCCTCCCCCCAGAACTTTGAGTCCTGAGACTTGGGCCTGTTTTCTGCTCGGCATTCATGCTGGGTGAGAAGCCTTGTGCTGTGCTTTTCCCCCAATATAGACTCAGAATGTCAGCAACATAGATAGTAGAAATGGGAACCTGTGGGTGTCTCAGTTTGCCTGCCTGTTAAAGGGAGATGACGACCCTTTGCCAGTCTAGACTAGGGGGATTGATAAGAAACTTGATTAGCTCATGAGCCTTGCTTTCTGGGTTACTTAGTCCCACACTGAAGCTTCCAGGAATGATCTTATTCCCTTATTCGTATTCAATAGTTGGGAATTCTAAAGATTACCCTCTGTGATCATTTGCCAGGCTAAAGCCAGAGATGCCAATGGCAGACGGCAGGCACTGGGAGAGGCGCTGAGCCATCTGAAAGGTTAGGAGCAGGAGGAGGGGCAGTCCCTTCACACTGGCCTGCAGCTGCTGCAGGGCCCATCGTCTGGGTGCTGCCCCCCAGACTCCAGGAGGAGAGGGGCGCCTGCTGGTGCAGAGGGGGTGCTGTGAATGCAAGCCAAGGCACTGAGTTAAAATTTTGCTCCCATCTGACCAATTATGATGGCAAATTCCGTAACTTTGGACAGGTGAAGGCACTTTGGGAAAGGAAAACAAAGTAGAAACCCAGAATTGATGGGAATGAGGCAATACAGAATTTTGGAAACTTGTTGGAGACATTTAGTCTTACTAATCATTTAAAGTATATGCATATATTTCTCACACGGAGCCCTCTTGCCAACTTGCATGAAGGAAATTTGCAAAAGTTTTGAACTTGTTTCATGTTGCTTTAAAAATAGCCACACTTCTGCTCAAAGAGAATGTGTTGAGTCACGTTAAGCGTCCAGGAACTGAGAGCTTTCTCATCTCGTGAACTCTCTTGCTATTAAGGAGTATGTTCCTGTGACCTTTCGGCAGCCATTGGTAGACTTTTATAATTCAGTCCCCAGAGGGAGGGATGGATCGGAACCGCGAAAATACTCCCAACTACCAGCAGGTGGCACTGTGGATACTGCAGTGGTAGAGAAGCAGATTTCGGAGGCGAAGATGAGAGGGGGAAACCTGGGAAATTAAGATAATATAAACGAGTCTACAGATCTTTGGGAGGTTAGCAGGGCATCTCAGAAAACTGTAAACCAGTCTCTGTATGTGGAAGGTTGCCATGGATCTGTCTTATAAAAGTATTTTCTCAGTTCTTAAAGCCGTCTGCTCAGCTGCACCAATAGATATCTGCCTAAATCCTATGAGTTGCCAAAAAAAAAAAAAAAAAAAAAAAAAAAAAAAACAAAAAAAAAACCCGAAGGGAGTATTTTTAGGGACTTTTGAGAATCAACATTTGCTCATATTCTAAAACTGCAGCATGTAAAGTAGAAACTCAAGCCTGGTGTGTATGTAATAGAAAATTTCATGCTCATAGAATATCACCCACTAGGGAAATAGGCTAATTTGATTGATTTAGTTACATTCAAGGGATGGTAAGGGACAAGGCCAGTTAACCTTCTTCGGAAGTTCCTGTGCTGACGCGTTCAGATAATCAAAGTGAATTCCGAGGTGATCACGCTGACCGGCTCCCAAAGTCTCCCTGAGAGAGCAGGAATTTTCCAAATGTCTCAGGCCGCCCTGTGAGGGTGGCAGCTTATCTCCGTTTGCCCGAGACATTAGAAGGACACTTCTTTTGTCGCTTAGCCCAGAGGCAAAGGGAGGCCCAGAGGAGGAAATGTCATTTCTCTGCTGAGCTGAGGGCTCTTGGGAACGCTGGTCTGGGCTCTCCTCCCTGGCGGGTGCCTGCTCTCAAGGCCAAAGGCTTACACTGCTTTTTCTGTCTCCCAAGGTAGAAAGCAGCCGTGTCCCGGCGCTGGTGGAGCTGTTGTGTCCAGGGCCAGGCTGAAGGGGCTGCAGCACGGGGAACGCAGGCTCCAGTGGTCAGTAATGGAGGGGCCACCCCAGCCTGCATGATCAGGCCAAGGGGTTGGGGCAAGGAAGGAAGAGGAACAAGGAAGCTGGATTGAGGACAAGGCCGGTCAGGATTTGGGACCTGCCAGTGGCAGCTCAGGGTCTCGGGGGCCAGTGTTAGTGGTCTCAGACCCTCGCCCAAGTCCAGAACCTTGTGCGTGCCAGTCTGCCCAGAGGGGTGGGAGCTGAAGCAGACAGCTGCCCTGAGTGATCTCTCCACGGGACTGGAAAGTCTGACCCAGCGAGGGGACCTGGTGATGGAAACCGGTTTATTGTGTATTCAGAAACAAGGATATTTGATTCACCAGGGCAGGCTCCTCGCCTCTTTCTTGGCACAGATTGGTCTTCAGAGCCTGGAGCCTGGAGCCTGGGCAGTGCTGAGCGGCACGGAGGAGTATACGTTTCCTGTCACTTCCTCTTTGGCAGGTTGTGTCTGCAGACACTGGCTTCCATACCCCATAATTACTTTTTCACATTTTTTAATATAGTAACACATGGTTGGGCTTGTGGTGGGGGAACCGAGTGATGCCTCTGGGCCATGAACACTATAAATAACTTCAGGGATCATTTTATATGGTTAGGGAAGGAAGCAGCTTCTTTCTCAAGAAATAGCTCCCAGCAAAGGAGCAGCATTTAGGAACAAATAACTTTTATTTTCAAAAGTCCCTTTTGCCGGTTCTGTTTCTCCCACAGATCCGCGATCTTAGCTGCTGCTATTCACTTGTTTTCTGGGCGGCCTGCCTTCCTCCACTTTTTATCTCAGCGTGGTGAATGCAGCCTGCTTGTCATACAAAGGAAAGTGCGCACATTTCGTCTGTGGGTGTGAAGTCAAGCCGTCAGCTCCGCGCTCCAGGGTTAGCTTCTGACGGCGAACTCTGCGGTGGCAGCAGGCTCGCACGAGCAGGTGTGTGTGTTAACCGAAGACCCATGTTGCTGGCAGGGACTTCAAAAAGCTACCTAGAAACATGTCACCCCACCCCCCACCCCAAGGTAGCTGGAGCTTAACAGCTTCCTGGAAATAAAAAGTTAGGATATCTGTGGTAGCGTTTCAGTAGCGAATGAACTTCATTGCCAAGAATGTCTTCTTTTTATCTAAGCTTCCAGTGTATTTGAAACCTGTTGCTTCTTATTTATTTAGTGACAATTTATTGTCACAATTAAATATTCTTATTTATTCAAGTTGACAATAGCTGATTACGATCACCTTTCAATAACTACCGATTTATATTTCCCTGGCCTGGTCTCTAAACTTGCACCAAAGTCAGTAATTAACAGCTAAATAAGATAAACACTATACTTTCTACTGAGCAGAAGTCTAATGGAAAAGTATGTAGAGGGCAAATATTCTCAAAACACTCTTAGGTTTCTTTAGTTTTGCACAACCCATGTTTGACACAAGTCTCTTCTGAAGCAGAGCAGGTAGTTTTGTGTCTTTGTTTCTGAATGATACATAATATCTTCATATATTTACTTTACAGGAAGGCAAAGACAGTAGCCCCTTAAGGAGATTTAAAATAATGACCACCACTTTCTAGGCATAAAAATGATTTGTTTCCACCCTTAGCAACATTCATTTATAGAGACAAAACTCTAACTATAGGCAAATAGGGATCATTTTACCCTTTGCATCTGTGTACCTGATGCGCGGTCAGCTTAGGAGCAGAGGCACAGATTGCAGTGAGAAGCCTCTGGGGCTGGACTCGTCGAGGGGCAGCTGGGATGCGTGCCTGAAGGGAGCATGGGGAAGAAAAAAAAACGCATGGTGCTTCGTTGTTCCCGGCCAGTATTTGCCACACTCACAGGGCACCCGGCACAGTGCTCCAGGTTTCTGACCTAACAAGCAAAGATGGAAATTGTTCTCTCTTGCAGAAGGAGATTTCGTTTTACTTCTCTCGTGTAGATGGTGGTGGTGCCCTCATGAGACGGCCCGACGCGCAGGGTCCCCGGCTGATGCGGACACCTAATGTTGCGCATGCGCCTGACGGATGCATCGCGCCCAGACCCTGCGGTTGGGTTGTCATTCCCAATAAATGATGCCATTGGGAAATTTTATTGTAAAGACTTCCGCAGTGCTGAAAATCTGATAGAGCACATGGCTTGATGTGGGTGCTGACAGCCACAGTATCTGTCCAAGGAACTATGGCAGATGAACTAGCAGGGTGCTTTTCTCTCGGGAGCAGGCTGCACTTCGAAGGGAAAATGTTTGCATTCCCTCCCCGGCCTCCCGCCCCCGGCCCTCTGCCCTGAACTACACAAAGTCCCACTGGATCCAAGAAGCTGGCACCGGAACCACTCGCTCTTGTTAGCCATACAGGCCCCAGGGGCTCTAAATACAAACAATCTCCATTATAAAACGGGCCCCTACACATGGTATTTCCAGAAAATACTTGTACCTGTGTTCTGCCCTGCTGCAGTTTCTGAGATGATTACATGCTTACGCCAGGGCATGGCGCGGGGCCAAGCCAGAGGTCTGCCGGCTGGAGTTTCAATAGTGCTCATTATGAAGAAGTTTCTCTTCCTAGCCCTGGAAGGAAAAAGCCACTCTCAGATAAAGTGTATGATATGATTACCGTTGCTCTAGATAACCGCAAGTATTACTTCCGACACGATAAGGGATTGTTTTCTGTCTCCCTAGCGCAGAGCTGGGCTCGGCCTTTTTAAGAAGTGGTGGCATTTCTGAAGGCCACTTGATCAGTTTGGAACCTCTGGGAGCGTGGGGTTGCCAGGCAGATAACAATCAATACCGGTTTCAGCTACCACAGCGACTGAAGTGCGGGGTGGGGGTGGGAGCTTGGGGGGAGGTGTGGAACCGGGAACACAGGGCCCCAGGGTCTCTGGCCGAGATAGGTGCAGGCCTGGCGACCAAAGGCCGAGCCTGTCCGGATGTCGTCGGAGGATTCCTTACCTCGTGCCAACCTCGTTAGGATTCAGCTGAGCCAGAGAGCTAGGATGCTTACCTCCCCAGAAGGATTTGATGGTTTTGTTTTGTTTTGTTTTGTTCTGCTGCTTTCCCAGGTGCATGAGCAGAGAACTGGAGTGGACGTGGAGCAGCTGGGACTCGAACTGTTCCCATAAGGGATACCGATGTCGCAGGTGGCGGTTTAACCCGTTGCACCGTAAAACCAGCCCCCTTGGAAGGGTATGTTAATGAGGGAGATTTACCTTTAAGTGATTATACAGGAATGTTAGTTGTCAATACACGATTTGCTGAAGGGGATGTGAACAGGGGAATTAGAGGACTGGTGAGAGTCTAATAAGTTAAGTTGTAGGAAGGAGGAGAAGGGCTTATTGCTCATAGCTGGGATGCTGTGCAGGCGAGAGCACTGCTGTTTGCCTCTTCAGGAGCCCTTGGCTTGAGGATAACACCCTAAGATAAGGGTCACTGTCATTATCAAAAGCAGGGAGTGGTGGCTGCTCCTTCTGTGTGTTTCATGGGTGGGTCGTGGACTGCCATGTAAAATCCCCAGACCCCAAGGCGGGGGAAACCAGCGTGGGAGCTGAAGATTGACTGCCCAAGGCTGTTTGTGTACATGTAATCAAGAAGAACTGCTATTCACGATTATAGCTGAGACATTTTGTCATTCCCAGGCAGCATGTGAGGCTTCAAAAGAGGCCAGATGTGTCGAGCAGGCTCCTCCACACGTCATGGCACGGGCATGTTGGCGTCGTTTACGTCTTGAGGCTTGTCGGTAATGCCAGGGACGCGTGTGAGTTTAAGGAAGAGGGATGTAGGGCTTGGATTTCTCCTGTCCTGTTGCGGTCATGGCTGACACTGCCACCCTGTGGGGTCACCTGTTTGTGACCGCCTGCCTGCACCATGGCTGGACAGAGAGGCAGAGGTGGGGAAAGGCCGTGGGTAAATGAACCCTTGTCCTGGCCCAGTTTTCAGCCTCAGAATGGCAGTCAGAGCTTAGTTCTCCAACACTGTTTTGCACGGTGGTGGAGATCGCCCAGAGACGTCTGGGACCTTGGCTAAGCTGGGGCTGTGATTACCTGACCACTGGCAAAGGGCTTGGGATTGTCCAGGTGGACATGCCGTTGAAGGAACGCGTATTGGGGTTTAGCCTTTCAGAAACGAAAACATCCTCAAATGAGCTTTAGTTGTGTTTCCCTTACAGTTCCTGAAACAGGGAGTCGCCAGTGGAAGAAAAGCAGCCCTCACGGGCCATGGTTCTCCGGACTGGTGGGTGGGCAAGGCAGCCAGGGGCTTGGCACGCTGGACTGCTGTGTCCCTTTCTCCATTGCTAGCCCTCTCTCTGGAGCCTCGGACTTGAAGCCTCTCTGTATCGTTAGGCCTGTAGAGAAGACAGGCCTTCACCTGCACCCCGCTTGTCTGTCACGTGCTGCCAGGGCTTGGTCAGGGAGACTGGCCTTGGTAGCCCAGGATATGGGAAGTGCCTTGGCCGTGCAGCTGCCTACACGCCATCATCAGCTGGGTGACACTCTTGGGATAGTCACTGGGCAGCTCTCAAGTTCTCTGTGAATGATTTTTCCTGGGTCTGCTTTGAAAAGGGACTCTGGCCTGATGTTATTCTTCGTTCTTTCTTTAATCTTCCACTCCTACTTGAGTTTTCCCGGCTAGCAACAGAGACTCGCTCCCTTTCTAGGGCGGAGTTTGCAAGCTCGCTGGGTTCTGGGGTTAGAGCAGATCCGCTGTTGCGGCTTTCTTTTTCAAAGTACCCTAGGTCACATGATGACTTCCAGGCCCAGATGGGGAGATGATGTGGATAAAAGTATTTAGCAGGAGATCAAAAACCGGGCTGTACTTCTAAATGACTGGCCTTTTAGAAAAAGCGCGTTAGCCTCTCACCCAGATGTGGTTGCGGGTAGCTGTCAATACGGCACGCAGGTGGCACGGTTATCTTGCCATTTACTGCCTGATGCTTTGGCAACTGCTGCCAGCCCTTCAGAAATAGGAAATGACTAATGATGTGGTGGAAATTACGAACCAGGATTAATAAAACTTGAAAAGGAACAGTCTTCAGTGTTTGATCCTCCTTGGAGGAAGTTAAGTTGGAGCCCTCGAATCTCTTCCCTGAGGTGTTCCTCTGATTTCTTCTGATTACTCTGCCATGGCGGGGGGCGGGGGTCTGAGCTGGAGAAGGAGCGGCGGACCAGATGGTGCCGGTCCGGACACATGTCCTGCAGCCCCGCTGGGAAGAGTCCAGTTAAAGCAGCCACAGGCACAGGAAGCAGACTTACTTTTGAAAGCGTGAGGTTTCTATGCGTACTCTTGAAGAACATTCTGGAAAAGACTTCATTCACTCCTTGAGTGGTCTCTGTGCTGTCTCATGAAGGACAGTTGGTGGAGACTAAATAGATTTCAGGGAGTTGACTTTTTTTTTTTTTTAAAGTCTGGGAATCGAATTGTCTTTTGCTGAAGGTCCACACTCAGCCTCCAGTGTCACCTGTCTGTGCCAGTCTTATTTCTACTTAGGAGAAGGTTATGTGGGAAAAGGAGAGATGCAAATTTTATGTTTGGAGTATGTTATTATTTATTTATTTATTTTTATTTGACAGAGTTATAGACAGTGAGAGAGAGAGACAGAGAAAAAGGTCTTCCTTCCGTTGGTTCACTCCCCAAATAGCCGCTACGGCCAGAGCTACGCCAATCCGAAGCTAGGAGCCAGGTGCTTCCTCCTGGTCTCCCATGTGGGTGCAGGGGCCCAAGCACCTGGGTCATCCTCCACTGCCCTCCCGGGCCAAAGCAGAGCGCTGGACTGGAAGAGGAGCAACTGGGACTAGAACCCGGTGCCTATATGGGATGCTGGCACTGCAGACAGAGGATTAACCAAGTGAGCTACGGCACTGGCCCTGGAAATTCATGCATAGTTTTTTTGTTTGTTTGTTTGTTTGTTTTGTTTTTTTTTTTAAGATATATTTATTTGGAAGACAGTTACATAGAGAAAGAGAGAGAGAGAGAGAGAGGTCTTCCATCTGTTGGTTCACTCACCAAATGGCTACGACAGCTGGAGCTGAGCCAATCAGAAGCCAGGAGCCAGGAGCTTTTCCCAGCTCTCCCAGGTGGGTGCAGGGGCCCAGCCACTTGGGTCATCCTCTGCTGCTTTCCCAGGCAGCATTAGTAGGGAGCTGGATCAGAAGTGGAGGAGCCACAACACGAACCAGCATCTATATGGGAAGCCAGTGCTGCAGGCCAGGGCTTTGACCCGCTGAGCCAGAGTGCCAGCACCCGCGTGGTTTTTTCTAATATGTATCCTCCATAAATCTTCTGAAGACCCTTGTTTGCACCTGATCTTGCTCTGCCTAGGGAGTCCTTCTGGCCTGTTTAAGGGCTTGTGAAATCTTTCAGGCTAATGCTCCTTTAATACTTACTACGTGCCAGGCAATCTCAGGACGAGACCCTTAAAGCTTTCTGTGCCTCAGTTTCCATCTGTAAAATGGGTTGTTAGGAGCGTCGAACAGTTGCTTATGGCTCATCAGGCTTGGGGTTGTGAATGAGATGAATGGAATTTCAGGTCTGTTACAGAGCCTGACATACCGTGTGCTCAGTAAGGGGTATTGTGAGTGTCCACCATGGCTGCTTTAGGCCCAGGAGAATAGGCTCTGGGAGGGGTTCGTAGTTATCCCTGAACTCTACAACTACAGGAGTGAGGTCAGTGCCTGACTCTGGAGCCTGAACCCTCTCCCTGCCTGTTCTAGACCTTCCTCGGGGTTAGGGCCCCTCCTCACTGAGCTTTCTCAAGTTGGTGCTGGCTGGATCCCTCAGGGAATTGGGAAAACCAGTTCCTATCAGCACAGTCCTCTAGAGAGTTCTGGGAGGCCTTAACCTGGTGACACCCTGACACTGGGGTGGGCTCACAGCGGTGGCCTTTCTCCGGGCCCTTGGGCCAGGTCTTTGCGATAGGTCGTTTGTTCAGAATAACGTCCTTTAGTTTCTTTGGCTCTTGCTCCCAAGTTCATTTTTTCTGTAATGATGACAACAAATGTTTCCAACTTGGATTTAATAGACATACAGTAGTGAAAATAAAGAGTATATTTTCTTCTTGCTTGGTTGTCTGAACTATTGCATTACAAAGTAAGAAAGATTAAAAAAAATTGTGGCAGAACAAAAGTTGTGAACGCAAGGGTCAGTGAGAAGACATCTCCTTTGACAAGCACGCTGATTCCTTCTCCTTTCTAGTGCGAAGGCACGTGACTGGGCCCATCAGCATTCCCTCAGGTTGAGGAGCCTCTCTCTGGCCCCTGGGCACCGTAGCTGTGGTGCTGGGGCTCCCTAAAGCTGTCAAGGCAATGAGCAGTGGGAAGAGCGAGGGCTGGTCTCTGAGCATCCTCCACTGTGCGTGCACCTTCCCCAAGAAGCCCTGAGAAATTCTCAAGGAAATGGGGGCAATGAGCTGTGAGAGCAGCCTTGGAAAGGAAATGGTGGACACTCCAGAGGCATTATGGCTAGGCAGCTGGAATCTGGCCTTGTGTGCCGGTGCGTGTGTGTGTGTGTGTGTGTGTGCGCACAAACCACAGGTCTTCGTCATGTCCATGGGCAGGGCAGCCTCTAGCTCTCTCGAGTCAAGGGTTCTGATTCCCTCAGCAGCTTCCGACCCCACTCAGGACACCACTACTACCGCAAGTGCTGGACTCTGCCTGGCTCTGTGCTGTGGCTCCCACGACTCTGGCCCTGCGCTCAGGTTCCCAGCCCTCCCGCCCTGGGATCTGGCATCCTTGGCGGAATGGCCTGTCCCCCCTGTCCCCAGCTCTGCTGGGCTGGAGCTGCTGTGGCCTTGCCAGCTGCTCTGCAGAGATTTTCTTTCTCGCCTCCTGCACCGTCGTCTTCAGGCTGGCACTTGAAGGAGCCCAACAGGCCATGGCAATCACACAGTCAAACAAAGATCTTTTAGGAGAACAATCCTCATTTGTTTCCCAGTTGGCATTTCTGGAGATTTAGCAGGATAATCTTGGATGTACGTCAGCAGGCATGAGCAGGAATCATCTTAATCCTTAACAAGGCATACAAATGAATCGGGGCCACGTGAAAAGTATACAAAGACTTTCTATTTCGCCTTTCCCCTCCGGAATTCCAGCTGTAGGGGCTTGTGTAATTTCTTGTTGGGGGAGGGGAATTTCCTTTTGATCTAGCCACCTGCGGCAGAGATGGGCCTCCCGAGGGATTTGGCTTTGGGATGT